AGGATGGAGAAGATGCCCATAGGCTGGAAGGCAAAAGGGATGATAATGAGTCTTTCTGAAAAACATGCTCCATATTTTTACATAGTTGATCTATTTGGTGGAAACCTGAAAAAACAGTCGTCCAAGAGAACATTTCAGAAGACTTGGAATAATAAGAAGTTCAGTGGACATGGCCCTACTCTGTTGTTTTCATTCTATGACTGAAATATGAAACCATCATACACCAAGGTCACTGGGGTATATCTTTACTGGAAAGATTCAGTTTAGAAATAAGAAGCCCACTTGTGCCCTTTGACGAACTTTATGTTTAGCATATACAATTAAATTCCAAAACAGAATTCTTTATTGCATAAATGTGTGTTTCTAAACACTTTCCTACTGACAATGTAAGAAAGTCTAGACATGATGAAAGTATGAAGAGAAGAGAAATTGTGGCTAATGACTGAAATGACCCACTCCTAAGAGAAAAGTGCATCGTATTTTGTATCATTAAAACTCTTTGTACTGTATGCTAGGTTTCCTGCAACTGTGGAGTTAATTGATGATGATTTGGTTTTGCTTTATAAGCATATTGACTCTTTCAGTGGCAAATCTGATATGAAAGTCTGATAGAAAATTCAACAGTGATGATTTCACTTCAGTCACATGTTGTCTCTCCAAAGTTATTTCGATGTTTCAGAAAGTGAAATAATAGAGCAGAAAGCAAATGTTTTTCATGAGGACAACATAGTTTTCATGAGCAGTTGGGATAATGTATCACCAAATTAAAATACCTTTGACCCAAGTCAGGCACACCTGGTCTGCTCTTAGGCCCTCATCTTTTATATTTTTACGAATTTAAATACAAGTATTGAAGCAGTTGCATTTACATTGTCCTTCCCACTCCTTGTAGTTTCAGATGTAAGCACATGCTTTATAGGTATCATAAGGTACTGGTGAGTTTCTGATATGCTTTTGCGAGTGTCTAATAACTGCTGGCATAACTAGTGCTCTCCCTCCTTGATAATGGGAAATTCAGGGCTCAATTTCCAGGTAAGGTCAAGAAAGGCTTGGTGTTTTGTCAGTGACCATTCTAGTCTCAATGACTACAACAATTAAATAACCAACCTTCCAATATCTTGACATATCCTCTTGGTAGTATGTGCACATATCCACATAGGGAGATATGTGCACAATATACCATCATGTGTTTGCCGTTACTGGTTACATCAGTCAGAGAACTAGCTGTACTTACATGCTTGAAATCATGGAAGAATAAAAATGAGGAAAAATGAATTTATTGAAGGGATAAATTGGAATCCATGTGTTTATATATTTTTGTGTGTGAGGAGTACTCATTTTTCTATAAATTATTTTTTAATAGCAGGTCATTTGTGACATACCTCACAGCTCATCAGACTACACATCTGTCATAAGACACCACTGCTTATTCTCTGAGAATTGCCATAACAGTTAAGCAGAGGGACGTGGGCAATTTTCTTATATATTTTTTAATAAGTTCATAAGCTATACTAACCTTCTCAATGAGCTCGATGCAGGCAGCCAGGTCCATCCCGAAGTCGATGAACTCCCACTCGATGCCTTCCTTCTTGTACTCCTCCTGCTCCAGCACGAACATGTGGTGGTTGAAAAACTGTTGCAGTTTCTCATTGGTAAAGTTGATGCACAGCTGCTCCAGGCTGTTGAACTGGGTGTTTCAAATAGCAAAGGTTTTGGGTGAGTTTGAAAAACCCCTTGGGGATTCGGCAAAGCACACACAAAGCTGGCATTTTCCAAACCACTCACATCGAAGATCTCAAAACCAGCGATGTCTAAGACACCGATGAAGTACTGCCTGGGCTGCTTGGTGTCCAGCTGCTGGTTGATGCGGGTGACCATCCACAGGAACATCTTCTCATAGATGGCTTTGGCCAGAGCACCCACCGAGTTGTACACCTTTAAACACAGAGGTAGTTTTGGTTTTTTAATCGATAACATTGACAGACCCTTATTCTCCAATGATTTAAATAGATCAGGGTTTTCTCAGTCATGTTTACCTGCTGTACAGTCTGGCCTTTGGTGACATACTCATTGCCAACCTTGACCCTGGGGTAGCAGAGGGCTTTGAGCAGGTCAGCAGAATTCAGACTTGTCAAGTAGGCAGCCTTGTCAGCAACTACAAGCACAAGAATGGTGAGATCATGAACAACTTGCACAATTTCAGGTGTGAATGATGGTAACAGGGAAAAGTTTTGCTCAAAGAGTAACATATACACTTGTGACAAAACCTAGTCATGTGTACATATTTCTTTAAAAAGACTAACTCTAGCCTTTTGGGGAAGATAATCTGGTACTTGGGGAATAGATGATCTGTGTGACATTTAAAAAATAGCAAAAATAGGGGCTCTCGCTGGTGGCGCAATGGGTTAAAGCACTGCATTATGAAGCTATCTGCAGCCACTGCAGCATGAGTTCGATCCCCAGCCAGGGAGCTGACCCACATGCGTGGCAGACCTCTCCTGACCCGCCTGCTGTAGCCCTCAGCAGTGAACTTCATCAATCTGCCTATTCTGCTCCCCACTCTGTCTCTGGTGAATCTTCTCACCCACCACATCTCTGACCTGTACCCCAGTTCTGCAAGCACACACACACACACACATATATAGTGAAAATAAACCACAAGTATAAGTAATTTGAGTAATTCTCACCTAGAAAAGTAATAACAGGAAGACTTATACCAGTTTCCCCATCCCCACCCCCCAGTGCGTGTGGACACACAAATTAGTCACTGGAATAAGAAATGGTCTTAACCATATAGTAAAAACTAGCTTACAAAAAGACAGCGAAGAACAGAATGGGCAGAAACCGTATCCACACACAACTGCTCAATCACATCAGCGCTGTGTCACTTCGTTCCTGTGTACCCCACCCCACCCCCCATCATCAGTTAGGTCAGAGCAGTCAGAAGGAAGGCTCTGCCTCTGAGGTGCTGATGGTGCCTTTTCTGTCAGCTGACAGATCAACCAACAGCAATATACCTTCAGTGCCATCCGGCTCCGCTTGCTCCTCCCTTTGTTTTTGCTTGAATTTCATGTTCCCGTAGTGCATGACAGCCCCCGTGAGCTTATAGATGGCCACCTTTTCATCAGAGCTGAAACCCAGGATGTCCACAGCACTCTGGGGAAAGAGTTGAGTGTGAATTGCCACACAGTTATCACCACAGCAGCCTCCCTCAGGATCCTGAGTCTGTCCTCCACTTTTTCCTCCCTCAGGATCCCGAGTCTGTCCCCTACTTTTTCCTCCCTCAGGATCCCACGTCTGTCTCCCACTTTTTCCTTTCTGTGCTTTGCCTGCTTTTGACTAGTACTTTGCTTTTTGAAAAAGGGGCTCATATTCTCTCCCACTTTGATCCACATAGCAACACCAGCAGGTTTGTAGCAGTCTCATCAGAGAGTCCATGGACAGTAAAGTGTGTGTGTCTTGATTGCACTCACACAGTTGAGATTAAGCCATGACTGTTGATACCACAGCTGGTGCTTTTCCATTTCTCCACATTAGCCTGGTATCACTACCATCTCACAAATCTCTGCTGTTTCTCCAAAATTGCTTCTAACTTAATATGTAGTCTTAGCTACCATTGCACCCTAATGGCACGGAATTTGTGGTTGAGAAGAGTGTATGAGAAGAAGAGTAATGTCCTCAAGTTTTTCTCCACATGCCCCTCTGATATCGGGTCTCAGCCAGCTTACCTGAGATGTCTGGCTGTGAACTGCACCTGCCCATTAGAGGAAGAAATTCTTATGCAAAGAACATTTTTCCTTTATTGAAATGTTTTTGTCTTTTTCTCTATTAGATTTTTATTACCCTCCAGTTGCCATGCTAGTTTTTGAAACAGCTTTTATCATGGAGGCAGGCCTCAGAGAGGGTAGAAGAAAATATGTTTGTTTATCACTCTTGTCTCCTAAGATTCTTGCCCAGATGATTAGTTTTTAGCTTCAGCTCAACATTTGTACAGAACCTAGATATTATTACCGAACTCCTGGAGCAAGACCACTGGATTATTTTAACCTCTGGCCCTGGGGGCTAGAGTCCTGCATTGCTTACCAAAGGGAGTACTTCTGAGAAATGCGTCATTAGGTGATTTTGTGGTTATCCAGCAGTCTAAGAGTATAAGTACACAAATCTAGAGGTGCAGCCTACTGCCCACAGAGGCTGCATGGTATATAGCCTGCCAGGACCATTGTCAAATACCCAGTTAACAATGAATACATTGTTACAGGACTCATGACTGTATTTCTCAACTCCATATCTTTTTTGAAAACGGGACTATCATAACTTATAAAGAATAAAAGCTGGTATTTATTATATAAAGACAAATAATTGATGGGCACCTTGGTGGTGGGTGTGTGTGGGTGAAGTAACATACGCCTGAAGGGCGTGATAGAGTTGCCTCATTAAAAATAAATAAATAGTTTGTAGATATCTTCAAGATAATATTTTGAAAGAAAGATTATTTGTGAAAGCAACTTTTAATCCTCTTTTGGGTATATCTGAATAGTCCTACTGGTATTAAAATAAGGCTCATTCTTAAGGAGACTGACTACTATTCAAAAATTCAAGGAAAAACATTAAGTATATATGTAAATATATGTGTAAAGAAAGTAAGTCAAAGGGTAATAATCTTTAAAGAAAAAAAAAGAGGAAGAGTAGAGAATGTATAGTTTTAAAAATAAATGTTAAAGCTCACAAAGTCCCTGTGAGAGTTTTCTGAGATAGATGATCCCTTTCTCCTAGTGCTACATGGGTAGAGTTAAGACTGTTAGCCCACAGAGGTACAGTCACACACAGTTTGCATTTACATTTTACTGTGAAGGAACTATGGGAATTTCATATTCTATTATGAAGAGATGTAAAAATATTGGAGCTCTTTCCCTGATACTTGGAGGAAGGCTCTGGCATAAAACAGAAAGATACATCACTATTCGAGTATAAGAAAAAACAAGGAGACAGCTAGCCAGGAGTGGTAAGGACCTATCAGTTATTACGGACTTTTAAAATTTCCTATGTGTGTGCTTGCGAGCTGAGGGAAGCAAGGTGTGGTGGTGGCACTGAAATGTCCTATAATTTTATTCCAGGGTAAGAGAGCCTGGAAAGCAGTATTGGCCATTTACAGTCTTTTTGCTAAGCTTTCACCTCAAATGGAGGTAAGTGGTGTATGTGCTTTCTCCTGTTTTGTACTTATTACTTACATCTGTGGCCATCAGCTCTTCCTGATCATCAATGCTGGGCACTGTGATTTCACCTTGACTGACAAAGGCAAAGTCATAAGGATTGGTGGTGATCAGAAGCATTTCTGTCACATGGAAAAGAACAAATAGGCCATGTTACTGGGTCATCAAAAACATTTCAGAGGGACTTCATGGAAGGGTTTTTATTCTTCCTCAGTAGAAACAAATCAAAGATAATTCTTACCAATAAGCTCTGGTTTCTTATTAGACATGATTTGGTAAAATATGTGGTAGCTTCTTTCAGCCTTTAGCTGGAAAGTAACCCGGGACTTCTCTAGCAGATCTAGCAAATAAGATTAAACATATTTAAAAGAAAAGGCCACAGTGAAATATTAAATATTTGAGAAGTTCACACAACATAAATAAGTAATATTTTCAATATAAACCTTCAAAGAAAAAATTTTCAATCACTAATATTTAAGAACTCACATGTTTCAATATCAGCAGAAGCTAGTTTGCCTGTGGCACCAAAATGGATCCTGATGAATTTACCCTTAAAAAGGCAAAGGAGGATTCAATGTACACACTGAAAGGCAGACACTGTAGCTCTAGCTATGGGTCAAACAGATGAGAAGGATATTGATCCCACATGTAATAAATGTCAGTATTAGTCCTCATATGAAAAGAAAAACCAGGAAACTTACAAAGCGGGAGGAGTTGTCATTCCTCACAGTCTTGGCGTTGCCAAAGGCCTCCAGTAGGGGGTTGGCGCTGATGATTTGATCTTCAAGTGTCCCCTTAAGAGAAATGAATAAGATAGATAAGGAAGCCCTAGAAAAGATGAGTTTCAATCTGCTAAAATAACTTTCCATTTATCTCTTCTCCTTCCCCACCTGCTTCATAGGATCTTGTTTTGGGGAAAGCTTCTAAAGTGAGTGTGAATGAGGATACATTGGAGGAAGAGGGTAGTTCGGTGATACGGCATTGATTTCTATAGCCTCAGGGCCAATTTTTCCTTCTAGTAAATGGTTGTGATAACTTTTGCCTATTGAACCTGCCAATACATTTCATTCTCAACAAATTTTCCAAGAGTTATTTTCCAAACTCTGGCATTATGTGCAGTTGGTTGCTGTAGCACTGAAGTACTTGACCAAAAATTTTAAAAGTCTTATCCCTTCCATCCTCAAGTGAATATTATGCCCACCTGCATTTTGCCTGAAGGAGCTTCATCCTTCTTCTTCTCTCCAGTAACTGCAATTGTTGCAAAGTACTGGATGACACGTTTGGTGTTCACAGTCTTCCCTGCACCAGATTCTCCACTATCAAGTTCAAATAAAAGAAAAAGTCAAAATCCAAACTTTAGTGACCATTAGGAAACTAAACAGAAAGAACGGCATGAAATCTACATACGTAATCAGGATTGACTGGTTCTCACGATCTGTGAAAGAGAAATAGAAGACAATGTTAGAAAAATACTTCATACTAGATTAACAAAATACCTAATTAAAAATTATCTTTAAAACTCTTGCAAAAGAAAAATGAATTGCATCAGTTGGTAATTTGTTTTTTCTCGCAAGGTTCTTTTAAATTAAGTAACAAAAGATGTATAATTAAACTGTGTGCATGATTCCCATCACCTTTATGTGCTAGAATATGCAATGTATTATTTCACTGTACTTTCCATAGGAGCAATCTATCAATGTCAGAAATAATCTGAGGTCTCATTTAGTCACCTGATTCATAGTCAGAATCCATTCATGTTGTTAATATCCAATCCAAAGTTTCTGTAGTAATTGTGAGAACTTGTCATTATGAAAGTTCAAAGCTTGCTTTTTAGGAGAGATGATATCTTAGCTATAACTAGACTGCAGAGTTAATGTCTAAGTTTGGTTAATTTTGAGCTGGAATTAGCATTCATTAACTATGATTTTGGCATAGAAATCTAAGAGAAATTTCCTATTTTTGGATCTGGTCTACTTCAGTTTAAATACATTCCCCCAGCTTTGAAAGTATTAGTATTACTATGACAGTATTATATTATCCTAGTAATTATATTATGAAAATATTATGTTTTTCTTGGTCAACATTTTATTCTCAAAATACTGTCCTTATATATTCTGTGACAGTACACAAATATTTCAAAAATGGTGACAGAAATTATAGTTATGACTCACCCGTCAGCATGAACTGATAGGCATTGTCAGAGATGGAGAAGATGTGGGGCGGAGCCTCCTGGCGCTTCTTGCCTCTGTAGGCGGCCACCACCTCGGGGTTGTAGACCGGCAGCCACTTGTAGGGGTTGACGGTGACACAGAAGAGGCCCGAGTAGGTCTGCAGGAAATGACATAGTTGCTCAATCAGCAGTCACCTCATGATCTGCAAGTCAGGAGGGTCCTAAGTAATGAGGCTTAGGATTCATCCACTTGCTGCTTTCTTCTAACACGACTGCCGCAAAAAATATTTCAGTTTTCCAATGAATTCAGCTTTAAGTAGACCGCCTTCCACATGCACATTTTTAAATGCATCAAGGCGTATGACTCCAACCGCATGGTTAGTCAAAAGGTAACATAATAGCCAAATCTGAAACTGAAGTTTTAATTTGCTTTCCCTACTACAGTGCCTGGAGTTAGTGAAAAACAGTGTCACGGGGGTCGCTCACGTAGATCATCCAGGCTGCGTAGCGCTCTTTGAGGTTGTACAGCACAGCGGGCTCGTGCAGGTGGGTCATCATGGCCATGTCCTCGATCTTGTCGTATTTGGGAGGGTTCATGGAGAAGACTTGGTCCTCCTTAACTGTGACAGTCTTAAGAAAAGAAAGAGCCAGTGGTATTGACTCCATTATAGGAAAAGATCAACCTTGCCTTCCCTCCTTTTCTTGTGTACTTACAGCTCCAGCTTCCGTCTTCACTGTCACCTTCCCTGACTCCCTGCTCTGAACTGTACTTTTCACATAAGATTCCTTAGCATCCACCACAAAGACAGAGTTCTTGGCATCAAAGGGCTTATTCTGGGCCTCTATTCGCTCCTTTTCAGACTTTCGGAGGTAAGGAGCAGCCTCCCCAAAAGCAGCCATCTCAGCGTCGGAACTCATGGCTGCTGGCTATTGATGGCAGCACAGGGCCAGGGATACCTAGAGGGAAGAAACAGCACCTGCGGTGACTCAGGAGTAAATGAACATTGTCCTGTTGATTTCATATTATGGGTCCATTGGCCATGCTTATTTCCTTGCCCCCTTTTGGGGATCATGCCTGTGTAATATGTACAGATGCTTAGAGATAGATTGTGGGCTGGAAAGTCTTGTAATGGTTCTTAATTTTTGTGATATTTTATGCCTCCCTCCCCTCTTCTATATGCGACCCTTAGTTGAGAAGTATGGAAGAACTGATTCACCAGTCAGCAATATATTTGATGCCTCAAGAGTGTTCAGTATCTTTTCTTTTTCACTTCTTTTTTCTTCCTTCCTTTCTTTCTTTTTTTGATTGTTTTTTGTTGTTGACAATTCAGTGGTACAAATGGAAAATTACTGTTTCCCATGGTGTTATAATCTAAATGAACCCATTTAAGAGAGTAGATCTTTCTTTTCAGAAAGTATTTAGATTGAAAACACAACATGCACAAGTAAACTCCTGACGTGTTAGGTAAATTAAAAGGAAAAGTAAGTTACAACAAAAGTTGAAAATCTAGCAAGTAATCTTGTCCTCAGTAAAAATTAAGTCATTTTAAGTCTTTTCTATCAGTTCTTAAATTGTGTGCAATATTATCAAAACAAAATATAACTTTAAAGGTTTCTAGGGGAAAAACAGTAGTCCAAGTTTTAACTAATAGTGATTGCATGTTCATGGTCTATTGTTTTTTGTGTGTCCCTTGATTTCAGCATATTGGTTGTTTATATTTCCTTATTATTTTAAATACATAGTTCACTCCATCTTTTTAAAAAATCAGCCTGCTAAATATCTCTTCTGAAATAGATAGCCAGCATAAAAGTTTCAAGCTAAAATGAATTTAAAAAATTTTCCCACTCACAAATTAATTATGAGAAAACAAAAATGTAAGTCCTTGCCCTGGTGACAAGGACATGATGAGTGACCAGTGTTGAGAAACTGACCTCTGTCAAGTGGAAGAAGGACTGGTTTGTTCACAGCTGTGTCTTGGTTGTCAACAACAATGGCAACAACTGCCTCATCCTTTCCCCTGTTTTCCACACAGACTCTTGGTCTTTTGTCATCAGCATTAAGCTACTGCTCTTGACATGGCATTTGCCACACCCTGTCTCTGAAATCAGCTCAGTTCACACCTAAACAAGTCTCTTTTAATATAGTGACAATTAGACATATTTTCAAGTAACAAATATTAGAGCATGTACTGTTGGTTTTTTTCTTCAAAGGAAAAATGTTATCCTATTATTTTGTTGTTGTCATTTCCATGTTTGGTTGTCATCAGGCAATTTTGAACTAACAACATACTACCATGTAGAGATTATTATAATGCAGTTTATCTACAGAACACATAAGGATATATTCTCATCTACTGTCTGAGATTAGTGGTTTCCCAATTTGTGCACCACAAGAGCCCAAGAATCCTCAGAATCATTGGGGGTGAGGGGGTGGGGGAGGTGGTCCTTGAACCTACAGTGAGTTGCCTCATTTGAACAAGCAACATTTCTACACAATGTTTTCTGGGTTTTTTTTTTCTAAATGAATATAGTTGCTGTATTAAGTATAAGCTTGTTTAAAATAATGAGTAAATGTACAATAGGTAGTCATTATTATATATATATTCCTAACATAATACCAAAACTACAGGTCCCATCATGACATTGGTGAAAATTTCATTAAATGTTTTATTTCTCTGGGAGAGTACTTAGAAACCACTGATTTAGATCATAGATGACAAGAGTGGGAGAAATCTTCAGTCAACTGGAATACAACCTCCTCATTTTACCGATGAATAAACTAATGTCTGGAAAGGTGAAGGGTCATTTAGTGTCACAGAGATGTGAGAGGTGGTGCTGGGATATGTGCCCTGTTTGCCTAAGTTCAGGTTTGGTGATAATTCCACACTAACACTTTGCATTTCAGGGTACTTAAAAGCCAGCTGGCTTGACCCAAGCACCCAAAGTCAGTGAAAAGCTTAGAACAGTACCTAGAAATTTTGACTTCCAGATCAGTGCCTTGTTGATTTTATCATTTGAGCTCTTCAGTAGGTTCTTATTGGTTTGATTGGGGTAGTAATTCACAATAAATGTTATTTGTGGTCAATGCAGTCTTTCGGAAGTTTTATCAACATGGAAAAGATGAGTTGGGAAATTTTGTTTGGTTAAATGGTCTGAAAGTCAAAATTGTATAAGAAACCATTTTTATCCTATTTGTATCCCATTCCCATTACTAAACTAGGAGATAAAATGGTAGTTCTCTAAGACAGCCATATAGAGATCGATTTTCTCTTTAGAGTGTAACAATAAATTACTCTTACCTCTTGTGTTATCAGATGAAGAAGGTAGCAGGCTCAAAGCAGACAACTACTGTTGAAAGAAAAAACAAACAAGAGAATGCAGATTCTTTTTTTTCTGTTTAATCACAAAATACTAGTGTACAATGTCATCCTTAGGAATGTTGGATAGAAAATTAAAAGTTGGGAAGCAGTAGCCATCTCCTTCAAGTGAGTAATCATTATCATCAGGAATGTAAAACTAGCCAAGGTTGTTCCACACATACATACCTTAAAGAATTTTGAGGAAGGACAGGACAGAGGCATCTCAACTCCACTTTTATAGAGACCATTCTGCAAACACAGCAGCCACCTCAGCTGTCCTAGCTGGGAACCTACTTGGCAAAACCTTTTTTGGCAATCTCTTTGCACAATATTCACTGACTGTGGCTGTGAATGGATATAATTAGAAATATTTCTTGTCACCTATAAATAATTTGACGCAGGATGATCTAGGGTTCTTTGTAGGCATTTGATAGGGGATGGGGATTCAGAGCTTCTAAGGCTGTTTTTCCAGCTTTGCCGTTGCATCATTCATCACGGAATTCAAAGCCAGGTTCCTACTTACTCTCTGCCTATAAAATTGGTCCTACGGAATGAGCCTGACTGAGGAGTTTAGGACTAATTGATTTGTTAACGCTCAGAACCATTAAGTAGCTGAGATGAATTTAAAATCTGATGCTGTGATTAGGAACAGGGAGTGATGGTGATTTGGCAGAAAATTCCTAGCCCTGATCTGGATTTTATAAACACTGGCGATAGATTCTTTTAAAGTCTGAAAATCTAAACATGAAGATGATAGTGAATTCTCAAATTAGGCAGTGATGATGGACCAGTGGTGGATTCGTAAGAGATTTAGAGTAGATGTAATCACTTCTGTTCCTTTTCTGGAGGGCTTGCCATGGACTCCAGCTCACATATTTTCTCTGAGGGGACAAAAAGGTGCTGTGTGATGGTCTTTGCATGTTCCCCCTGCCTAATGGAAGGAGGCACAAATATGCATGCCCAGTTCATGAGCAAATCCTCATGACTAGCTGGAGCTCTAAAGAGGTGGGTGCTACATGTTTTTATTTAAAGTGGGAGGAAAGACAGAGTATCCACAGTACTCTCCTTGTAAACTGAGATGAGTCGGTCATCACATATGGCCATCATACTTGTAAACTGGGTTTTGGTGGTTTTACCCAGCTGTTGCTGGATATGACAGGAAATCTATCTACTCTCAGTGTGTCCTTAATATCTGATGTGATATTTTCGCCTATCATTTGTTAGCTTAACTTAACTTATAAATTGATCGCTGTTTTTTGCATCCAGTTGATGCACAATTTCTCTTTAGCATTTTAATAGATTGGCCCTTTTCACTTCTTTGTTTATTTTGATACTGTGGAATAGGTGGTCAGGCTTATAAAAAATCTCTGTGGAAATGATTCACAGACATGTGGTGACTTACCCAAACTCTTATTATTAGATTGTAAGCCAGAAAGAAGAAATGTCTTCTGATTTTTCTCTAATTTAATATTTTCTACAACTCATTTATTTTTGCCTCATTTTCAATTATATCTAAATTATGGACATAATAAACACAAGTACTACTTTGGGAACTGAAATAGAAAAGAAAAACTATGGCTAACACCAAGGCACAGAAACTGAGTTATACAGACCTCTAGTTAATGAGGACTCCGCTGAAAAGTAAGAAATATGACCAATTGCAGATAGACTGATCATTTGAATCAACGCTAAAACAAAAATGATACACTAGTTCAGACTGACATGGACCGCTAGGTGTGGGTCAGAGAAACTTGCAGAGTTTGGGTGAGAGAGAAGAGCAGCAGTGTTGAATGAGGGAGAGATTTGCTCATATATTTGCTTGTCTAAGGACTGTCTAAGTAGAAATACAGGAAATTAATACCAAGCCTTCCGGTGTTTGTATACTTCTTCCTGATTAGATACAGGTGGGAAGGAGGGCTTTAATCTAAATTAAGGAAATGATTTTGGATGCTATATACTCAGGCAGTTTGGATAAAAGTTTCTAGCATACCCCACACCTCCCTTAACCTTACGGATTTGGAAATTTATAGATTTCTGTGATCTTGCCACTTCTTTATCTGCTAAACTAAAAATATAAATTTGGTGAAAACCTAATATTCCCTTTTCTTTAAAGAGTTGTTCGAGTCACATCAGGTTATGTAAGTAATCTATAGATGTAATACTTATAGATTATTATACCAAGTGGAAATTATATCTAATCTAATTTAATTCATACATTACATTTATATATGTAGATGCTTAGAACTGTGTCACCAGGTGCCACAGAAGCAGACATTTGTCAGAAGCGATGGTCACAATGGCATATTGACTGCCCTAAATACCCCCAGGGATCAAATGGCAGTGAAGGGTGGGAAATAGCTGGCTGGTTAGGAAATGCCAATGAACAAGGCTAATTTTGTTGTTTATGTGTTTTTCTTATACAAATTTTGTTCAAAAAATAAAGATTGAAATTACGGTAAAGACACTCATGTCTTAGTTTCAATAAAAACCCTGAAATTAACATGTCAGATTTTTAAAAATCTTCTTTTAATTTCTCTGGGACTCCTGTGGGTTATCATT